CACCTATGCTCGCGCAGTTGCCCGGACTGGTGCTTAAGCTCTACCCACTCGCTCCCAGCAGGAAAAGAGTAGTGGGTGCACAATGCCCGTTCACTCCTGCATGCCTGGACCAAAGTCCAGGTAGTCCGTTTAGGGAGGGTCTTCTCCCCATTGCATCCTGCACAGCTGCGCGGCCTGGGGCACAATATAGCCATTAACTTCTATGGGCTCTGTTTACCCATCCGTCTCCTAGAACGTACCTAACTGCAAGGATTAACTGCTGTTTCTACGGACTTTGAGATTCTCCAGTAGCCGTAACTAAGTCAGAACAAAATGTTGCTAGGCTATTTTAATATTTTCTAACTCAAGATGGTCTGGAATCGAAATCCTGGATTTGAAACCCCCCGAAGTTCAGATCTGGTTACAGTGGCAAACTTTGTGGCTTGGGCCCATCTTTTACTATCTATGGTTTTGATCATGTCTATAAGATCCAACCCTACCTACCCCATCCTGCTTTAGTCCACAGAACAAACTTATCATGCTGGTTTGCCTGCTGGCACTTGCTGCTCGATCTTACTGGAAGGAATGGGGAAAAGATTGCTCGTCTTTCTGGGTGTTATTTACTCTGCTGTATTTCTTCCTCTCTCGAGCCTGGTCATCATTAAGATTTCATTGACCAGAGTAATGTCCCAGGATGTGTGTGTGTAATTCTGTATATTTTAGCAATGCATGAATGAGGGGCTGTTTACTTCGATATCTCCCAGATGGGACAGTCACAGCAGCTATGCAGTGCTAGCGTAGGTCATGGTTACTTTCTGGAGGCTTTAGTTAGACTTTGTCGTCTCTTCTTTTCAACGAATAGTATTCACCACTATCAGTGTCAGAAACTGCCTCTGCCCCCGAAGCAGCAACATCTTACGATGAAAACCCTTCCTGAAAACCTCTCAAATGTCCATCACCTCCCACATATGGACTTGCCCCTCAGTTAATAACAGCATTCACTGAAAACACACTTTGTGTAAACACTGAAAGCAAACCACATCTGCTAGAGTCATGGCAGGTCACAGCTATCGTTTCTGGAGAAAGTACTCGAGGGAACATTCCTATACTTGGCTGTCATGTAGTCCACAGACTCTTACCATGCAAGACGCTGGCAGTGTCGAGCTGGTGGTCCCCCTTTTCTGGAGAATTTAGATGATGACAGCAATTAATTACTTCTCATCTCAAAGCCACAGTTTACAGCAAGTACATTACCTCCCCGTTTATCCAGTAGTTGGAAACAAATTCCAGATCTCTCAAACAGCCGTCCAGTTTTGAAAAGACCTAACCCCGGGGGAGGTGGAGAAACACTGGCCAGGCCATAGGGCGCAATGGCTCTCTAGCTTTGTACCCGGGAGGGGTTCAGAACTGAGCTTCATGTTTCTGGGAGTACAGGTAAAATAGGTTCAGTTAAATGGTGGTACAGGGGAAGACCTAGGAGGAAGTTATGGTTCATTGAGATTAATGCCCTCTCTCAAGTTGGGCCAGATTCTGCCACTCTTGCAGTGAGGAATACTCTACTCTGCAAGTAGTCCCATTGATTTCAGTGGGACTATTCCTGGAGTAAGTTATTACTCAGTGGGAGTAAGGATTGTCAGTCTCATCAGACTGCATTGACTTCCGGTACACATTTGCTGCACCACTCCGAGGTTTAAGTTGATGCAAGCATTCTAGTGGCATTGAAACCGAAGCATGACTGCAGCCTTTTGGACATTTGGGGCCGAACATCTTGTAAACAGGCAGATTTCAATCCACTGAAGAGCCCAAAAGCTGCAACTTCGAAGGAAGTTCTCAGTTAATTTTGCCATTCTAGTCAGTAATAATCAAAGGGTATCGTTTTTTAAAAACTCCTTTGTGTTTATTCAAACCTTTTAGGAAGTGTTCAGAATACAAAGTAGAGAGACAAGGCCGGGAAGGTAATATCGTTCATTGGACCAACTTCTGCTGGGGAGAGAGAAAGAAGCTTTCAAGTCACACGGAACGGTTCTTCAGGTCCTGTGTGGCTCGAAAGCTTGTCTCTCTCTCCAACAGAAGTTGGTCCTATACAAGTTATTACCTCATCCAGCTTGTCTCTCTAATACCTTGGGAACGACACGGCTACAACTACACTGCAGAATACAAAGTAGTGCGATATGATTTGCAGTTTTTCCATACAACTGATTAAATCCATAGGTTTGCTGGTTGGTAACAGTGAAGTTCCCAGGGGACTTTTTGTTGCTGCTCAATGGTAACCCATCTTCCTTCTCTGAGCATCTTGTTCAGTAAAATGTGGGACATCCTTTGACTTAGACACATACTTTACTTGCTGTGTGTAAATCCTGCTGACTTCACAGTGTGTAAAGTTATGCATGTGTGTAAGTCTTTGCAAAACTGGAGATTTACTGTGGAGCATTTTACTGGCCTGAGTCAAATATTACATGCCTCTAAACCACAACGTCTCCTGTTCTTAGACCCTTACTGGGATCATGGGTTGTAATATTGCATTTTTTATTTAAATTGAATAGTTCTTATCCACCATTGTCTTTTGTACTTCAGTTAGTCCAGGGTTAAATTTCTTATGTACTTGTGTATAATTATATATTTGAATACTTTCCTGTTTGTTACTCCCCAAAAATAATGATAACAAAAATCATATACTACAAAAAGAAAAGTATTGTTTCCCCTCAGCTGTTGATCTCCCTTGAAATTCTGATTTTTGGTCTCGAACTGACATGGGGAGAGGCAGGTGGGAAATTCAGGAAGAAAACTGACAATGCTTAATTTTATCAAAAAGCATTTAGCGCCTAGAAAGAACCAGCCGCTAATAAATTAGAAGAGCATGCACACATTGGAAATGTTTTGGATTCTGCTGCTGCTTTGATCTCGGTTCCAACTTTCATTCTCTCCAATCCGGAGTCCCCAAACGTGCATTTTCTGTGGAAAAAAGTGGAAAGAAATCAACGCTCCCAAATGTTCTGCTTCATCCAAGAATGTCTGGAGCAGAGCTTAACTTCTTTCTTCAGACCCTGTACCCGGTACAATAGACAGAGATAAGAGTCTGACATTTGGACTAATTTCAAAAGATGGTGGCGGTTTTATTAAGCGGGAGGAGGGAATTATTTAGGCCTTGTCCTCTCCATCTTCTGCTTATAAGGACTAACTTTCTATGTGTGGAACGTCCCTTTCACAATCTCATTTGTCAGCAACAAGACCCGTTCTGCTGGCTGGCATTGTGCTTTAACAGAGATCCCACCGTGCAAACGGTAATTCTGGTAGCTAGATTCTGCAGGGCTCCCTTTTGCAGCCAAAGTGTTGGGTTCCAAGAGGTTTGAGGAGAAGGCCTCTGGGATCAAATCTCGCATAAATGAGATCTTTTTGTTATCTATTTATTTGTACAGAAAGGAGAAAAGCGTGCTGCAGCAGCAGCAAGAAGAGCTGACATGATCTTATCACAAACCCCGCTGACTTGTAATCATGTCTAATCTGAATGCAAGGCCAGATCCAAAGCTGTTATAAATCAGAGCGACACTGATTTACACTGGCTGACAATCTGGCACGCCAAGTCTAGGTCTTACTATAAAAGCCCCTTACTGGGTTGAGACTTGACTGCCTATGAATGTTACCTAGATAGGTCTAGCTACATCATCCGTGTAGAGCCAAGACGGGCTCTCTAGTGATGGGTGGTGGGACCCCCGCTGTGGAACTCCATGCCAAGGGAGATTAGATTGACCCTGAGTTTAGCGGTGTTCAGATCAAAGAGTGAGGCTGTCTTTCTCGATAAAGCCACCTCCACAGTCATCATGACGCTTCCACACCAGAACGACCAGTTCCCCCAACCCTGTGGGAGGTGGTCAGGGAGCAGAGCAGCCTTTGGGTTTTGCTGTGCTTGGCTGCTGAATGCAGCTCAGGTGCGACAGGCACCGCCGAACTGCCGTAGATAAGTTAGATCCGCGCAGTCGTTACTGGGCTGATGGTGACCAAGCGAAGCAGCACTTTGTGCACAGCTGAGGGGACAATCAGGTCTTGGGGGATTCATCTCGGAGAGTAGGGGGATGATCATTGCCACTGGACAATTGGGAAGCCTTTATCTCTCCCTGGTCCCCTGTGAGCTTCCCGGCTATGTTGTTCTAGGTGCCTGGCTGGGAGGCAAGCACGAACTTTAAGCTGTAGCAAAAGTGCTGAATAACAATGAGACAAAACTTAGCCTGACCACTCCCCAGGCAGGCGTTTTCAATAGAGACCGGCACTGTTGCAGGTACAGCCAGGTCAGTCCCTCAGGAACGATTCCCTGCTAAGCCCTGACACCCAAGCGCACTGTTCTCTCTCCTACCTACCAGGAAGCATAATTAGAATAGATCTTAGCAGACGATAAATGCAATGGCTCAGATTGAACCCTGGGGTAACTCTCCAGCGCCCAGCAGGGTCAAGAGCCAGCGCTGATCTCGGCTTCAGCTACATTATTTTGTCATCAGAAATTATTATTCTGTATAGGAAGAAATAATCTTTCCTTGCCACGGAAGGCATAAGTGCCCTCCCATTGCCTGTCTCTCGATGCTGCCCAAGCTGGGGCATCTGAGTGTGAAGTCTGAGGGAGAGGGGCCCTGGCAGGACAGGCAGTCAGGGTGGACTCTCTGCAAAGCCTGTCCTCTCTTCAGTCCTCTTGTGCTGTACCTCCTACAAGTTAACTTGTCCCTCCCACTCCTTCCCAATGAGCAGCTTCTGGCAGGGAGCTGGGAAAGGCTGGGGATAAGTGGAAGCTTTTTTCAGAGTAAGGCTACCACTCTGGCTCGGTGCCTCAAGCGGATGGTAGGGGTAGGGTACCAGAAGCCTCTAGCACTCACATGGACTTCTACAGAGGGCTCTTTGTAGCCTGGGCTCTCAGCCTCCTACCAGGTAAGCTCCCTCCCCTCTCTACCATCTGCTGAACTCTGGAAAGCTTCTCTCAGGGCTGAAGGCACCGGCGGCAGCAGGCAGCTTTAAAAAGGGGGGGGGGAAATAGCTTTTTGCTTATGTTGGCAATCAAAGGAAAAAGAGCCGGAGAAAGCCACCGTTTAATAAGGCCGTTGGTCAGTTAGTGAAAGGTCTACAGTAAACGAGGAGGGGTAAAGGAGGGGATTTTCCCCCAGAAAGTGGAAAGGGATCAAATCTTTCGCTCGGCTCCTGAGGGATGACTGGGAATGAAGGCGAGAGAACTCTTTTCGGTAAAGCACTCTCAGCTCCTCATCTGGGTTACAGTTGCATGTGGGATTAGTTTGTATCTTTTTTTTTTTTTCCTTAAGGAGAAAATACTTTAAAACAAAAATGAAGTCTCTAAGGCTGTGCTAAGTTTGGGGTTGTACCGGCAGCTTGTCTTCAGCAGCACAAAAGGGGGCTGGGCATGGGGAAGGTGTCAGGGACTAAATAACCTCTGGGTGCTGAGATTTTAGGTGCTTGTTTCATTTTAAGATGTGAGTTTGCAGCCTTCCTTCACATATGGTTCGGTGTGTGGCTGCATAAGCCATATTGAGTTACAAGGGGAGAGGGGGAGAGTTCTGCTTATTGTTGGCCACATGCCTGTGAGTTTAAGTTCAGTTGTTACAGAAAGCGAGTCCCTGCAGTAGTCAGTTTTGCTGCAATTAGACTAGCCAGCTTTCCATGCACAGCCTACCTCAGGAGCAAAGGGGACCGTGTCTCTGCTTTGAGCTTTAGAACAAAAAGAAATCTTTCTACCAGCTAGTAAAAAGTTGCTACTGTTGCTAACTAAATTACGCACAGCAATATGATGCTAAGAGCCGCACTGGGATCTCTTGTGATACTGTAAACACTTCTAAACATCCTGAGGGAATGCGTATCTATTTTTTCTAATTGCACAATTACTTGATAATCTAAGGAAAGCTGCAAGGACGCTGCCTTTCTTTGCCTAATAGAGAACATGTGTCTATGCCTTGCACGTGGACAAAATGTTGTCCGCTTTGCACACAACTCTAAGTGAGATCTGAGAGGTTTTCACTTTGGACAGCATTCTGTGGTTACTTGCTCCATTTCGGAGATATTACTTCTTACTGTTTTTTTCAGACTACGGCAGACTTGCCTTTGAAAAGAGGTGGATCAAGTTGCTCTGACATTTGGACAATAGGCACTATACTTAAACCTGTGCTTACGTGTACTTTAAAGTCTGCAGCTTAAACTCTTTAAGGAGATCGAGTTATAGACTTGGTTTTATTTTATATTTTTAGACTCCACTTATGGAGCACTGTAAATTTTTGGATCTTTGCCTGCAGGCCACACAAATAAATTTAAACCTGGCTATTCCGTTATACGTACACTCCAGATGCCATAGTGACATCTGCTGGTGATGACAGAACTCTTGAAGTACAGACATCTGTGGTAAACAGTCTGATGTTTGTTCAAACAGGCAGCAAAAAGAATAATTGAAATAGCAAGATTTTTAACTCCCTATAAAGGGTCCAATGGTATCCTAGGTCTGGCATTCCTGTATGTCTTATCTTGCAGTCAACCCAGGTGGGGTGGGGTGTGTGGGGACAGGAAACTAATGATGGCATTTGGATCTTTTGGATGAAGGCACATTTGGTTTTCTATGCTTGATGCACAAAGACATGACCAACCTTAGAAGAATCATAGCATCATAGACTATCAGGGTTGGAAGGGACCTCAGGAGGTCATCTAGTCCAACCCTCTGCTCAAAGCAGGACCAATCCCCAACTAAATCATCCCAGCCAGGGCTTTGTCAAGCTTGACCTTAAAAACCTCTAAGGAAGGAGATTCCACCACCTCCTTAGGTAACCCATTCCAGTGCTTCACCACCCTCCTAGTGAAATAGTGTTTCCTAATATCCAACTCGACCTCCCCCACTGCAACAAGAGACCATTGCTCCTTGTTCTGTCATCTGCCACCACTGAGAACAGTCTAGATCCATCCTCTTTGGAAACCCCCCCACCCCTTTCAGGTAGTTGAAGGCTACTGTCAAATCCCCCCTCACTCTTCTCTTCTGCAGACTAAATAAGCCCAGTTCCCTCAGCCTCTCCTCGTAAGTCATCACAGCTTACATCACAGCTGTGGAGCAGTAACATAGGCTGAGCGTGAAGCTGCAGGGTGGAACCAAATCTAAGTATGTATATGTTGAAATAATCCTTTTATCCACATAGGAAGCCATCCCATGTTCACAGCTGGATATTGTGTCATGATTTATGTTAATCTAGTGTGTAAAGTGCTGTCATGTGGTGCCTTCCTACAACAGAAAGAAAGCGAGGACCTAAAAAAAGCAGCTACTGTATCAGACCTACTTTGTCTCTTTCACCTTTTAAAGTGACTGTTTTCAGGCATAATTGGTTTGTGGAAACTCAGGATATTTACACTCTAGTTATAAAGACTTTGGAAAATGCCCCGGCAGCCACTGGGGTATATCCTCTGATTTCACTGAAGTTATCGCTGGGATTGATTTGGCCTAGTACATCTCTGTATAACAGACGTTAAAACTACTTGAAGAACTTATTGTCCATATCAGTGTGTGTTCCTTTAAGTCAGTTCAGAGGTTTTCAGTGGTGGCATGTGTGTGATGTTACTATGGAGTTACTATGGTGATTAGCGAATGTTAATAAATAGTGTTGGTCCAACTATTACATACATGACCAGAAGAGTCAGGCCACTTTCTCTGTTCAGCTGACTGACACTCTTCCTGAGAACGTACCTTCCAGGGAACTCCACGCAGGATAATGTCTTGTGCACTGGCAAACAGAGTTTGGTGAACAGTGATGATCCATCAGGGACCATTACTTCATATCTGGATCTACGGAGAACTAGCCTTAGGGCATACAAACAGTGACACCCCCTTCTCAGACGGTTAGAAACAACAAATCGGGCCAGATCCTGTTCCTAATGAATTCAGTGGGACAGGGATTGGGCCCTTATTGGTTACTAACAGTGTGGGTAAAGTGCTGCACATGGGCTTAATAGAAATGGCTTCTCTAAGTACCTGCTGATATCAGCTGGCTCTGGATATGCAGCGTCAATAGTTCATGTTGTTGATCACTGACAATGCAACTTGCTGTGACATGGAGAAGTTGTGTCAATTGGCAACACTTCAATTCCAAAAATTAAAGGCCCATTTGAAGAAAGCCGAGAAGGTTTTCCCCGATTAGAGAGTTTAGAAAACACACAAAGAGTTGTCACAGTGCCGTCTCGCATGTTTGCATCTGGCTGGTTTTATCTGTATGACACATTCTGACACAGAGCGTCACTGGAACGTTAGTAAGTGGGGAAGAAGTCGGAATCTAGTAACCTTATCCAGTATGGTGGTTGGACCTGTTGATAACCTCTCTTGTTATCTTTATTTATTGCTTTTGTTATGTAGCTACTTCTAGACTTGTGTAAGTGAGGAACTAATGAAATAATAGAGCCAGGCATTTCACAAGGCTATCCCTACAGTTTTGTCCATACACTTCCATCCTCGTCTGTAACACCCCTGTTATTCCAGTCCAGGGATTCTCTAGCAACTATGCCCTGCCAGCCACAGCAAATTAAGCACTGATTTTGTAATGTACACAGATGTCCATGGGAGAATAGGATGAAGCCCCCTGACTCATCTTGCCTTGTGTCCTAAGCGGAGTTGGAAGGAAGGACATTAGGTGTGCTAGACTGGTATGTCTAGCTAGTGGACTAACACTGCACCACCCAGACCCCACGCTGATTTATTTCACTATGAAAGATTTAGTCTAACTTTATTTTTTTGTTTTCCTGGGTGGCTAGAACGCCTATTTCTAGCTGGGCAGCACATGTGTCAGGAAGACCCTGACCACACTGGCATGGGAACTGTGCGCTCTGTGACCACGTTAAAAGATTGTTGTCCTAGCGAGCTTCCAGCATGATTTTCCTGACCAGTGTGCACAGGGTTTATTATTCATCTGGAAAATGTGCTGGGGCTATTAGAAAAGTTTGCTACAGAGTAGCTAGGGGCTTGTCTCCATTGGATAACCTTATTGGGTCTGAATAAAATTATGAGGTCTGTTAGCTGATACGATACTGACCACCATTTTGTGGTTAGGACAGATCATATGCAGTATCCGCCCGTAGTGTTTTCAGCAGAGTTTAACCTGCCAGGATGGTGAACATGATTCCCTTTGGTCTACCCTGCACACAAGGTCATGGTCAGAATCATGTCATTTAACTCGAATGTTCCCAGTTGTGATCAAACACACTAAGATTATTAATGTTAAGACTTGGGGGGCTAGTCTATTATTTGGCTTGCGTAGTACAGGGAACTCACCTTCGAACCCTGATAGGCACAGATATGTAGTTGGATTGGTGTTAACTTGGATCCCAAATGCAATGGGATACCTCACATGTCCTTCCTCTGTCTCTGCTAGGACAGTAGCAGTTAATTGGAGAGCTAGAATTTGTATTTTTTTAATGACTATGTAGTCCCTGCATTATCAAGAATGATATTCTCGTGGCCCAGCATTTTAAAATAAAGCAACTTCTCTTTTGCTGCTTTTTGAAGGCCAATGAGCTGTAACTAGAAGTTGCTCTGACAGTTAATGACGTGCGGCTGCTTCCTAAAGATCTTGTGGGTAACCATGAACGTTACAGAACATGAATTTGTAATTAGAGATTTTACATTTATGCTTCTTATTACCCTGTTTTCGATCTACACCCATGTCGGCATCCACAAAGAAAACTCACTTTGTTCCCTAATGCCACATGATGGACAATGGCTTTTAGTAGTTTAGGAGTTTGTTTAGCTCTTTGCTGGCAAGATCTTGGGTGTTTTAATACTTTCAGCATTTTATTTCACTTGTAGGAGGTAATGGCTGGGTTTACTGCAAGGTGATAAATTGTAGTCATATAATCTCTATATGTCATTATCGTTATTGTTGTGGGATTCGCTGTCACTGCTCTCTAAGCTTTCTCCCAAGTTTAGGATTGAGTAGCAGTGCCTACACGTACACTTTGTTACAAGGGCTGCTGCATCTCAGAACTGGGCTTTAGTGATTGGGTAGGACCCAGAAGTGAAAAATAGTCCGTTGAGTTTCGAGTCCCAGACCAGGATGTTTGACCTCGGAATGCACCAGGCTTTGTGCACGTGTGAACTCCCCGCCTGCCACATGCACAGTCCTCGTCTCCACATCTCTGAAAGGATCGACCTTGATTCTCTGGAGCGAAGTGGGATCTAGCCCTGCTCACGTTGTTCCAATTCTCATCTTCA